AGTTGTTTTTTTTTTTTACCAGAACTGGAGTTTATCTTTAATAAAGACTTGTTCAGATATGAAGAATTAAGTATATCACCACAAGAAAGCCGCCGCGGTTTTTGTAAAATGTGTAAATAAATGCTAACTGAGAATTAAGGTCCAGGGCGTATTCACTAAGCTCTGTGCTATAAGATATACAGTAATGTGAGTATCTGACGCATATTACAATTTACAACATCAGTAAAAAAAAAAAAAACTATTTAAAAAAAAACTGCTGGGGTTTTGCCGCGTCATATCTGAACACAGCCTACAACAGATGCATCAAATTGGCTGATTATACTACAACGGTTACATTTGAAATTGAGATTTTCAGTCTAAAGTCAGTAATTCCTAATTTCGTTAAAAGAGTATGCAACAATATTTTTCCAAAATCACCAGAGTTACAGTCATTGTGATACTGTAGAAAGCTTTTCAAAACAAAGTATTCTGAGCATATGGAACTCTTTTTTTTATACTATTCTCTATAATTTAGAAAGGATCCTATTTTTGTTTTACTGGTTCCCTTTCCCCATTTTGAACTCTCCCTTTGCAATCTTTTCATCATTTTTCTTGAATCGCAAGTATATTCTCATCTTTTTTAAAAACATTTGAACAAGCGAAAAAAACATTATAATATAAAGCATTACAAAAGAAATGGTAGAGAAAATATTCGCATTCTGTTTTAATGATTACAATCCCAACATGTAGGAATACGAGCCTCGCAATTTTGTGGATGAGGGAGGGGACGGGAGGAGAACTTGGGGTTGGATCACCCCCCCCCCCCCCAAATAACATACTACTGTTATAAAAGTAGTCTCTGACTTACAAGATGGCTCTACAGCATTCAACTCGACTTGAAAGCCACGGCCTCCGGGATAAATTCCGGCAAAGAAAAACATCAACGCCGCGTTGGTTTGAATTGCGTGCATTGTACTAACATCAAAGCGGTAGTAATAAAACGCAAGATCGATTATTGGCAGGCCGTGATCAGTTCCATTTGCGAAGTTCAGCCATGAGTCGAGGCTCAGGTCGAAATCAAGAAAGTTGAGTTGGATAATATGGTTTGGGTTTTCCGTGGTGACAGCCCAGTAACTGTTGACATGTGCAGGGTATGGGTTAGGATATGTTGGAGTGCTAACCAACGTTGACGTTCCTTCAACGAGGACAATGTTTTCTGTCAGGTAGAAACGCAAAAAGGATTAAAAATAAATAATGATAATGATTATGGTATGATAATGATAATAACAGTAATGATAATAATGATAATAGTGGTGTTTTTAATAGAGGTCATGTCTGGACAATTGCCACACCTGAAGATCCATTTTTATAACGCCGCGGCTTTACCATGGCTGCCATTGAATTATACATCGAGTGAAGGCTTAATTCAAATGAGCTAGATTTTGACTGATTTTGTCCGCTTTTAGAATATTTCTGAAAATATTAAATTTGATTACGAGATGATCATGATAAAACTAAAGACCCCAACAGATTGTCATTATTTCTTCATATTCAAACATCATGCTTTTTTTTAAAATCTACATCTTTTCCACTGGAAAATGTAGCTTTGCATAATTGCTTAACAGCCAGTGATACTTTCAGTTCATTGGTACAAATCTTTCATTTTGGAATTATCAATATATATGCACCATCAGACATATTTGAAAGGAAAGCTCTGTTGGATAACAAAAGCATAAACCGAGAGACGAGAGTGGTTCATCAATGGACGTTTAACGATCATCCGATGAAAGATAAGAAAGTTATTACATTAATATCAAAGTTATTGATTAAACGCAACTGTTTGATGTATTTTTTGAGGACATCCTGCATCAAATCTGCATCAAAAAAACTTGTAAATGATTTGTCTCATTTTATATTTCGGAATAATTATTTAAGAATGGGAAGAACAATATTATAGCATTATTACATGAAAGAGATGATAAAAAGATTTATTTTGAAATGCTATCTTTCGGAAAGTCAGCTCAAGGGCATTTTAAATGTGTCTCGTATATATCATGTTCGGGTTACGTAATACGTCATTGCCATGTTCGCACATACAATGACCTTTAGTCAGGCATTAATCTTCCTTTGCCACACTCAGCCCAGGTGATGTAAATGGGTAACTGGCAGGAATTAATTCCTTGAAATGCTAGAGCGCTGTAATAGCAGCTAGGCTAAAGTCAGGGTAATAATTAATGCACCTCGGAATAGAATTTCTAGATAGACGGCGCTATAGAGTACCGAAGCTGTCAGCTGTGACGTCATAAAAATCTATTTTTGGAATTTCTCAATTTTTTCTTCATTTTCCGAAAGAGCATCAAAAATAATGTCCAAATGTTGAAAACCAATTGAATATGTTAAGTATTGGCTGATATATATGACCATCTGAATGAATATATTTCCTATAGGAACTCAATGTTATATGCTGTGGCTCCTAACCATTAGGAGCCAGAGCATATAACACTGAGTTCCCATAGGCAATCTTTCGGAGAATGAAGAAAAAATTGAGATATTCTAAAAATAGATTTTTGATGACGTCACACTTCACCACTCTATAGAAATGTCTATACCTCAATTATTATTATTATTAATGGGTGACACACAAGGGTTCTTCGAAAGTTCAGTAATAAAGAATTTTGGGGTGAACAAATTTGTTATGGGTGGTGTAAATGTAACATTGACGTGCACATTTTTTAAACTTCGAGGACCATGTGAGATTGTGGGTATACAGTTAACAACTAAATTATTCATACCCTTACCCTTTTCCTTTTTTTGAGCATGTCAAAAAAGCTTACATCTAAAATTATTCAACAAAGGCCCTAATTCAACCTGTCCACCTTTCTTTCTTGAGTCACAAAAAACACTCAAAAACCATCAAATTTGAAAGGGGTATGAGTAATTTAGTAGTTAACTGTAGTTTGTGAAATCTTACCTATCTCTTCTTTTCCACAGCCGACCTCATCATCCATGTCTGGACAATCAAAGTAGAAGTTACATACAAAGTAGTCTGGTATACATTTGCCGTTCCCGCACATGAACTGTCTACTCGTACAGGCACCTGCGAAGCGAAAACATACAATAAATGGGCACATAGTTTATGTATGAAAGCATATATATATATATATATGTACCTATGTCTACATATTTGACAGGAGGTATAGACATTGTTTTTTTTCATGTCCTCACAGTTGTTTTTAATCATGATTCTAACTCATTGGCCCGAATTCACACAAACCTTGGTTTGTAACGCGACAAAACGCGTCATATGACGCACATTAACCTATAAGTTTGGCGACAAACTGGTACAAACCTTGGTTTGAAACGCGTTGAAATGCGCCATATGATGCACATAAACCTAGGTTTGGTGACAAACTGGTACAAACCTTGGTTTGAAACGCGTCATATGACGCACATAAACCTAGGTTTGTCGACAAACCTGCTTTGTGAATTTGGGCCATAGATTATAACTTCTCTAACTTATGCATGCATGCAGCATTCATGAGGATCCAGCTGAGGCATGCAGCCTGCCATTTTTTAATAACTCACCTGCGCATGACAAAGGAATTAATTAAGAAAGGTCAAAGATTTTTTAATCCATCAATTGAATCTGGTGTCACACAATCACGACACTACACATCTCCGTGGCCTCAATGCACAGGAGTTCTAAGCTAGGGATACGTGTTCGATTACCCATTAAAACATTTCTTCAACATTTGCATAGAGTCTAGAGGGAAGACAAGCAACCATTTCTATCTAATTTACTTTCCCATTAAACATAAATAAGAGTATCAAGTCATGATAGATTTGATGATTCTAAAGGAAGCGTTCTACTACAACGTAATAATGGGCGGAGGATTTTATTTATGAAAAAAGAGAGGGGGGAGGGGGTCCTCATACTCGAGAAATAGAGGTTCACGCCTATTTCGTATATCCTAAATTAATCTGAAAAACATGAAAAACATGAAAGAAGGAAGCAATAGATGTCAGATAGTGCCTTTATAGATGGAAAAAGAGTTAGTGGGGGGGGGGGGGACTTTTGTATACTTAATGGATGCCACTTTGGTGTGTTTTATTTTTGGTGTTGTTGTTAAGGGCCGGTTGTGGCTTACCACAGTTGAGCTCATCCTCTCCCATGTCACAGTGATCGATGTAATCACACCTATCTGCTTCATCGATGCATGTACCGTCATTGCAGCGAAACAATCCTTCCTTACAAGGATCTCCTGATGGGAAAAAAATGAAACATTATATATAAAATTGATGCTATTGATATTTGGAGATGCTAGATGTAGATTGATATTATCAAAGATTTTTGGAAGACGACATGAGTTTGTCAAAAAATAAGGTGTAAAGCTAGGCGCCTGTATGAAGTTATCTACCGTAATGTCTCAGATCCTCATTACGGTAGATAACTTCACACACACTTTGAACATGACGAACAAAGAAAGAGGACAAAATATACAGTTCCTCAGGTAGACAAAGAACATCCCTTCAGTAGCTATTATGTAAAAATGTGTAGAACAGGTGTCACATGCATATTCACCTGTTCTACACATTTTACATAATAGCAGTGAAGGGATGTTCCTTTTTTCTACCTGAGGAACTGTATATTTTGTCCTCTTTCTTTGTCCGTCATGTTCATTATGACAGGCGCGCGCTCGCCCGAAACCCACCATCGGTATGCACTTATAATGTGCAGCTCTTTGCCGTGAAACCTGTGAAAAAGTGTATATTAATATCAACGTTTTTCCAAATATTCTCAAAAAATAACAAGAAAATGGACACGCAATAGGTAATAAAATTAACGACTTTTAACTCATGATCTTTACTTAAACATTTCATGAATATTTACTTCATTTTGGAATTGGGTATGTTTTAGTGGGGTATGATCCACACTGGAGTTACGGGTCAAATTTTGGATAGGCTTCTGAACTAGCGCCGTTATTTGTTTACGGTTAGCATGGCATGGTTAGACTTCAAGTTCATGCATTGAAGGAGTGGTTGATGGTAACTCCAGGGATCGAGCTCCGACGCCGACGAAAGCCGACGAAAGACGACGGCGTCGGAGCCCCGTCGGAGCTCCCTGGAGTTAGGTTGGTGGACTCTCTATGCTTTGCTGGAGTGGTTGATGGGTAGCATGTCAATTTGAATTACACGTAAACTGACAAGAAAACGATAGAAAGCAAACCCCCCCCCCCCCCGGCAATCCACACATGCACTCATATAATATACGACAAAAAGGCATGTGAAACCACATAACAATTATTTATTTTACTCACAAGGCCGTCATCAAATGCAGCTGAGAATGAGAATTGAACGAGTACGCGCACCCTAGTCTAGAGCTCGCGATATATCGTAGTACGCAACGTAACGGTGCGCCACCCCACCACAGATCGCATAGCGCACGTGTACGAGCTAGGGCGCAGCAAATTACAGGGGATTCCCCGATATGATTTCAAAAATGGGCGGGGCTACAGGATAGTTGACTCTATCACTGGGACCACACTCATTTTTATTCTACTAGTAATTTGATTTTGCCAGCAATTTTAAAGATATGATATGATTGGAGTTGCTGATTATAGCTATAGCTAAACCTAGTCTGGATTCATGAATTTTCAAACGTAAAGGTTGAGATTGCAGATTGATATTATCAAAGATTTTTAGTATATAGACGTCGCAGGTGTATGGTGATTTGTTTGATGGAGTCATGAACAGCCTGTGCAGTATCACATACACACGCACACAATCCATACCCGGATACCCCCACACCTTATTAATCAGTTTATATTGTCATAGAACCGAGGACGTACGTCCTCATTTTGCGAGTGGTTGTACAGTTCTTAATTGTGTGTGTCCTCGGTACCCTACCGTGTACCCAAACACCCCCACACACATACACATAAGCACACACACGCGTACACACGCACAGAGGCATTGCACACTCTAAAAAAATGTTGGGCAAAAAAATGCCAAATTTTTACCAAACATAATTATGAGGGCAATTGTGTGTCCAACCAACTATATATTGGGTCATTATAAATTAAAGATTTTGCATGATTTCACCAGTGGTGGATAAAATGAAAATACCCAAGTAACCCAACTTTTAACAAACAACAAACTTACCCAATAAGAAATTCACCTAATTCTCATCATTATGTGTAGACACTAGTTGGGCAAATTATTTCAGCGGTAACTACAGTACATGGTTGGTAGAAAATAGTCCAATTGTTAGACAACATTTGCTCAACATCGATTTGCCAAGTAACACCTACCCAATCATTTTTGTTTACCGTTCATTAGGTAACCTCATAAAGTAAATAATTGGGACAAAAATAACCCAATCATAGGACAAAATTAGCCCAACCTATTCGCACTGTAACATTGGCATTCAAATTCAAATTCAAATTCAAATTTATTCATGTTTCCAACAAAACATTACAAATCAATTATAAGCATTTAAAACAGATTTAAGAAATACATGTTGGAAACAGAGGGGTCCACTAAAAAGCAATGCTTGTACAAGTGTGGACACCTCAAATGAAACTTAGGAATAATGAGTAATTAAATTATCTAAATTATCTAATATGTAACTACAAAAGGAACTATAAAATAGGGGAAATAAAAGGGGAATGCCAATTTGTCAATAATAAAAAAAATCCCATTACAGACGTTTTAAAGGCAGACAGATTAACAAACATAGAACACGGTATGATACATACCTGGCGTTACAGTATCTGGTAGATCCACGCCATTGACGTTTATCGGAACACCCACTGTAAACAGAAAAAAGAGATTTTTTTTTTTTTATAATTCAATGTTGTTTTCTTGGAATGGCTCCATTTTTTTGCTGCTCCCTCCAAAAATAGGTCTGTGATTGCATTTATGTAAAATCATGAGCGAAAAAAAATACCTACAATCTGGTTGTCATTGATGTACATGTATTACATTTATTTAGGGCGGAACGTGGTAATTTATCGAACTTATACGAGGATCATAATTATTAACAGTGATAAAAAAAACAAATAACAGCCAGTATTATGAACACACTGTAAAAAAATAATAGTCGAAATAACTCAATAAAATTGAGGAAAAGAATTGCCTTATTTTTATTAAGTAAATATTACCTACGGCATCTTAAGTAGAATTTACTTATTTTGCTGAATAAATTTTTACTCAGTTAAATCGAGTTACATTAACGTAAATAATTTAAGTGTTGTAATCATTTTAGATAATTAAAAAAAAGCTATGATAGGATTACATATTGCACGATTTAGTAAAGTAAATTCTACATGGAAAAAATACGTACAAATTACCAATGAACAAATTCTTTTTTACAGTGCAGCCTAAGTAATGAAATTTACCAATTCGCTAATTTACAAATTAACAAATTTACAAATAAACAAGTTTACACTGTTGGAATTTAACCTTTTGATTTTTGGCCGGCAAATGGGAGATAGTACCTGTAAACTAAAATAGAAATGATTAGAAGAAAACAAATATTACCCTTGTTTACTTCAACGGTTACATCTGAGGACCCAAGTTCAGCATTATTGGAAAGAGATGTCATGACAGCTTCGTTGGTGGCAGCAGACACCTGATTAGCTAATAACAGTTGAAGGTCTGTAGCTGATGTGTTGTCTGGATCAGTATCCGTAAATAAAGACGTTGCAATATCACCTGAGACCATGATCATTGCATCTACAACGACACTCCCTGGACTAGAAGTAGAATAATGATAATGATACTTATATTGAAGGTAGTAGTAGTACAACCTCCACTACTTCTACTTGTATAATAATATGAATAATAATGATAATAATACTAACATAGCACTATTGATTATAATACTAATAGTGAAGGTAGTATTAGTAGTATGAGTAGTAATATTAGCAGTAATAGTAGTAGTAGTAGTAGTAGTAATAGTATTAGTAGAAGTAGTAATAGTAGTAGTAGTAGTAGTAGTAGTAGTAGTAGTAGTAGTAGTAGTAATAGTAGTAATAGTAGTAGTTGTAGTAGTAGTAGTAGTAGTAGTAGTAGTAGTAGTAATAGTAGTAGGAGTAGTAGAAATAGTAGTAGTAGTAGTAGTAGTGGTAGTAGTAATAATACCACTTCCAATACTACTACTACTACTACTAATAATAATAATAACAATAATAATGAAAACAAGAAGGAGAAAAAGAAGAAGGAAAAAAAGAAGAACAACAACAACAAGAAGAAAGAATCATATCAATTAATGAATATGAATAAGAAATAGAAATAATATGGAGAAGAGGAGGAGGAAAAGAAGATTTAAATAGAAGAAGTAAAACGACTTTTTCAAAACATAAATGCTTATCCGCAAAAATAAAAGTATTGCACAAATAACGAAATGTTTTTAGATGACTATGATCACATTTCCATTATTTGTAACTGCTACTGCTGTAACTAAACATAAAACTGTTCCAAAAGAAGATCTATGATAATATTGATTATGCGAATGAATACTGATTAACACAATTATCTCCGTGTTTCAACGATCTGTGGATATGCAGGGTTTTTTGTACCATGTTTTGTAAACTATGAAGAGGTCTCTGAAAATTTACCAAACGGTGTGTTTACTACTACTAATAATAGCTAGTTCTTATATAACACTTTTCAGGACCGAAGGCCCTCTTTAAGCGGTTTACAGATATATATTTATTACCCGGTAATCAGATTTAGGCTTCCCGCACACATGTATGCACATTCTTCACTCCCTGGGGAACATTCCAGCCAGGCGTCATTTTTACAAGAGCAGACTTGCTAATCTAAGCACATTCAGCTTTCGCATCCTACCGGGTACCCATTGAACAACTTGGTGGAGAGTGGCAAATGTAGATCAATGTCTTGCCAAAGAACATTAGTGCCGCGGTGGGACTTGAACCGCGGACCTTGTGATCCACAGTCCAGTGACATATCCACTTGTCCACGACACCTCTAGGTGATAATGATATCATAAAGCTTTCATGGCACTGGCTGCGGTCACTATCTTGAGCCGACCGCAAACCTTGCAATCTCGATCTCTGCAATCCGGGTTTAATTAAGCACAATTATTACACTAGATATTGTAAATAAGATAGTAAACCAATAGCATTTGTCTTTAAATTTACATATACTTATTCCTAAGGGACATGAATAATAAATGCAAGAAGAATAGAAATACCTCAATCCAGTCACAGTTACATTTGTCACAAATCCACCAAGCTGATCATCATTCTGTAACCCGTTCATCATCTGAAAAAGAAAGAAATCATTAAATTGTGATTTTGAATTATTATTTGTAAATCTAATCTTGTCTACAGAACCCCCCCCCCCCCCCATCAAGGTTAATTTATAGAATATTCGTGTATACACACGCACATATATATGTATGGAGAATGAAATTATCAATGCATGCATCATGAAATTATAGCAGGAAAATGTTAAGAAAGTATAGTCCGAGAACAAAAAATAGTATAAAACACCAGTCAAAACACTGAATCGCTTGACAAAAAAAAGCAAGATCCTTAGAATGCGCTCCAAAAAGAAATCTCTTCCCCCCCCCCCTCCCCATTTTTCACATTTTCCCCATTTCCTTGATTAATTCACATCTCATCACTACGTCACGCTCTGTTAATAACTATATCTGCTGCTACGTGGTTCAGTGAGCATATTTACAGTATATTAAGGTGATGAATGACGTTTCATTTATTCCAAGGTACATGAATTTGAAGTATCATTATTCCAAAAATGATATTCAAAAGACATTGATCACGAAAAATAACGATCCCTTTCGTAAAAGAATCTTTGAATAGACTCCCTATTGTTTTTTGCTTTTTGTTTGATATTGGTTGTTTGAACATTGTGTCTTTTTATTTCATACTATATATTGCCTGTTATTGCTGATGGAAAAATACTGCACCCTTTTGAAGACAAGAATAAATATATTATCAAAAAGTATGCCAAGGTGACTGTCAACATAAAAGATGGTAAAAGGAAAATAAAACTGGAATCCTATGTTGATGTCATACAAGTATTGCTTTTGACAATTTTGTTACATATCACAGAATTGTTATTGATGATAACATTTTATGGACCGTATTCTTAGTCTTTTAACTCCAATTTCGTTAAATATCTTTACCTGAGTTTCTGCGTTGCTAGCAAAAGCCATGTATTCTGGCGATGACTGGTCATTGTACGCGGGAATAAATGTAACTCCGTTCAGCGTAGCAGACAATTCAATATCCACATCACCTGCAGAATTGAAAATGTTAAACATGAAAGTGTTATGTGAAAATTTTATTATAAGATAATACTGCCCTGCTTGTTATCAGTTGAAATGCATAGATGTATACTATTATGTTAATGATAGAAATAAGATAAAACGTTTATTGAAGTATTAAGTACGTAAAAACTAAAAGTATGCTATTTGTTGCTGCTTTGTTAAAAGATAATTAGCCAAACCAGATTACATGGAAAATGGAGAACAATATGTATTGAATCTACGTCAGCAAGTTGTAATTGAAGCACACAAAAAAATAGTATCATAACTGACTTATTCAGAATCACGGTTTCCGATACAAAGTTGCCTTTTTGGGTTACTACTTCTCAATCTCTGTTCATCTGATTCTTTTGGAAAATATCGATAACTCAGAAAAAGAACATTGCCAATTTGAAGTAGCTGATTACTTTACCCCTTTTGTATCCATGTGTTTTTATTCAAGAATAAAATTATCCCAAAGAAAATATCTTCTTCCATATTCAAGTAGTTCCATGTATTATATTTAAAACATGCTGGATATAATTTTCCTTCTGTTTTGCTATAAACACTGCATTGTAAATTGATTTATATGATATATATATTTCCAAACAGAATATTGATATGTTGCATATTATGCTTATAAACAGAATATTGATGTACATCAATAGAGTGAGATTCAAAAATTACTCCTTTCAAGAGATTTTGCAAGTTTGAAGACACTCCCATCAACATAAAAGTGACTTATGGGTAGACTGCTCGACGCCCCCGGATTAGAGTGGGCTCTGTAAGAGCAGTATTATGTTATTCTTTATTTTCGTCATACTCCTCATCCATTAGCCCATAGAATGCCGGCTTAAGATTATTCGAGGTTGATCCTTGTACATTATAGCTGTAGATTTAGGTGATTGGTACACTTTAAAGACCGTCAATACTACTGGGCCAGAATGGATTAGACCACACAGCGAGGTCACTGACAGGTGGCTATCTCATTAACTCAGCTATCAACTAACATAAGAAAAAGAGGATCATGGGGGACCAACAGGCACCGATTGGGGAAGTTTTCTATATATAGGGAGCAAGTAGATACAAGTAGGACAGTGGGGCTTTAAGCTGGAAATATGGCATGAACTTACCGACGACTACTCCAGGAATGACAGTTGGAACTATAGGAAGGAACAGACAAATAATACAAATTAATACAATCTATTTAGCGGATAGAAATTATTGAGCAGCATAATTTTACGATGTACTTTAGCGCTAGATTTTGAAATTAAAACTGTCGAGTGTCCGAGTTTTTTTTTTCATTTTAAAACAGTCTCCACAATTCGTTATATTCTCCTCAAGAACTATTTATACGGAGAGTTCAATGACATTTCACGTCTTTGGCAACGGTTAGCTAACTAGTATAATAAAAGTTGAACGAGGAAGCGTAAATTTGCTGAGAATGATTGTCCTTAATAATCAATGACAGCATTTAATATTTCGTTTGAAGAGGCTGCAAACAGGGGCATTAATCAATTTGGGGCTCATTTTCCCCGATTTAGAAGAGAAAAATTAGTCATTCTGTCTGTGTGAGTGGTGAACGGGAAAGGGAGAGGGGGGAGGTGGTAGCAAAAATGGGTAATGATTAGTTTTCTCGATTATAAAAAACGAACAATATACATTATTTCCTTAGATTGTAATACATGAGTTCGATGGAAGGGAGGAGGTATGCGTGTGTGCGTGTGTATGTGTGTGTAAGGGAGGGGGAGGGGGGGGGGGTGTCTTTATGCCACCATTGCAAATGATTGTTCACATACAAATGCATTTGTTCTGTTATAGAATACAATATTTACCTGGTGGCGTCGCCGTTGCTGGTGCCTTTGTTGTCGTTCCTGTTATTTTTGGACCTGTGATCATGTTGAGGAAACAGTGAAAACATGAAAGAAAATTGTCAACAAGAGCCCGAGGTGTTGTGGTCTAGGTCACCAGACTTTGAAGCTCATGGTCCGGAGTTCGAATCTCTGCATGCCACACCCGCTATTACCCTTTAGAAAGATCATGCAGTCGTGTAGAACTGTCCACCAGGTGAAGTAAATTGGTACCCGATTGACAAATATAAATTAATACTTAAGAAATAATCACGATCATGGCAATTCAGCTAAGGCCAGATAACGATATGATTAAAGGGCCTTCAAAACCGCCACGCGGGGGTTGTGACTCACCAGTATTTGGAATAGAGTGAACGAGGAAGCGTAAATTTGCTGAGAATGATTGTCCTTAATAATCAATGACAGCATTTAATATTTCGTTTGAAGAGGCTGCAAACAGGGGCATTAATCAATTTGGGGCTCATTTTCCCCGATTTAGAAGAGAAAAATTAGTCATTCTGTCTGTGTGAGTGGTGAACGGGAAAGGGAGAGGGGGGAGGTGGTAGCAAAAATGGGTAATGATTAGTTTTCTCGATTATAAAAAACGAACAATATACATTATTTCCTTAGATTGTAATACATGAGTTCGATGGAAGGGAGGAGGTATGCGTGTGTGCGTGTGTATGTGTGTGTAAGGGAGGGGGAGGGGGGGGGGTGTCTTTATGCCACCATTGCAAATGATTGTTCACATACAAATGCATTTGTTCTGTTATAGAATACAATATTTACCTGGTGGCGTCGCCGTTGCTGGTGCCTTTGTTGTCGTTCCTGTTATTTTTGGACCTGTGATCATGTTGAGGAAACAGTGAAAACATGAAAGAAAATTGTCAACAAGAGCCCGAGGTGTTGTGGTCTAGGTCACCAGACTTTGAAGCTCATGGTCCGGAGTTCGAATCTCTGCATGCCACACCCGCTATTACCCTTTAGAAAGATCATGCAGTCGTGTAGAACTGTCAACCAGGTGAAGTAAATTGGTACCCGATTGACAAATATAAATTAATACTTAAGAAATAATCACGATCATGGCAATTCAGCTAAGGCCAGATAACGATATGATTAAAGGGCCTTCAAAACCGCCACGCGGGGGTTGTGACTCACCAGGATTTGGAATAGAGTGAACCAAAAAATAATTCTTAAAGGCCGCCTGTACTAGTTTGGCTATAAGGGATTAGACCACCCAGGGTGGTCAACTGACAGGTGGCTATCTCATCAACTCAGCTCTCAATTAACATAATAAAACGAGATGATGGGGGACCAATGGTCATTAGGCATTGCTTTCTATATAGAGGGAGCAAGTGGCTACAAGTAGCACAGTGGGGCTTTAAATTCAGTCGAGATGGTGCAGAAGGTTAAAGCAAAACTAAAGATTCCTCGTTATATCGCTACGTTACAACACTTTGTGAGGACTGTGGACTGCAGAGCATGACTTACCAGCAAAGATGACGAGGCAGATGATCGCGATCAAGATGACGGCGACGACTGTTACCGCAATAAAGACCTTAAGCAAGGTTTTAGCCATCGGACTTTTCTTCTTAGCTTCAGGGTGGAACATTCCCTCTCCGATGGTGCTTGTATCGTCATCGTCATGCTGACTGAAAGTTTTCAAGCCTTTGTCAGGGTCATTGATGTCCTGTAGCTCGATGTCAGTGACGATTGGCTTGACATCACTCACGTCCTATTAGATGTAGAGAAGAAAAAAATGAAATGCCAACCAATTATTTTGTATATCCTTCTCTATCATTTACATTCTACTCGACCGCAATTTTTTTTTAAATCAACCTAATGCAATTTGAATATCGAATATGAAAATTACGTACTATAAAACCCAAGCATAATCATTGAATTTAATAATAATAATAATAATATAATATTTAATTTGTATATTTAATGGGGATAAACGGTCATTGGCATTGCCTGTTTACATGACTGATGCATCATGCAGGGAAAATTTGTCACATTTGGCCAAAATAGTCCATTATTCCTAGATTAAATTCAATAGAAAATGTTTTTTCTTAAATATGAATTACTCGTATTTACAAACCGGTTATGAAAACAATTAATGAGAGAACAAACTTTGTGATATAGGAATAGCGAAATTGATGTCTTTACAATGACATAAGGCCATACAGTAATAAGTAGTAATAGCAGTAGTAGTAGTAGTAGTAGTAGTAGTAGTAGTAGAAATATTATTGATAGAACAAGTGTAGTAGTAGTTGTAAAAGTAATAGTATTACAATCTTTCTCATGTGGGTATTTAACCAAGGAGATATAATTGGCTTAATGTATGTCAATCTCGCATACGAGGGTGAATATTCTTCAGATTCGCCATTTTAGTGTTTTCGTGATAAATTCAAAGTTCGGTTTCTTTCCATTTAGAATTTCATATTATTTAAATGAAACTGGTCCACGAACGCATGGCATGATATAAACATGTATTCTGCAATACAGTCGCCAGATACTGCCGCCAGATTTACATACATTTTATGGGCCTTTAATGGATCTTTCCAGAAAGAAAAAAAACCTGCGGAAAGATATTTTTCTTTTTGACGAAGGTCAAAAACCATTCTTTGTGTAAATTCTGTATACACTGCTGAATAAACAATCGGATGCATATGTGTCCTTTATTTTCGTAGACAACCTGAAACCATGCTTTGTGTAAACTCTTTATACAATGCTGGTTAAACAATTGTATGCATATATGTGTCCTATATGTGTTCTATATTCTTGTGGAATAGGGTGTTTAAAGCCCCACTGTCCTACTTGTAGCTACTTGCTCCTTCTATATAGAAAACTTCCCCAATCGGTGCCTGTTGGTCCCCCATGATCCTCTTTTTCTTATGTTAGTTGAGAGCTGAGTTAATGAGATAGCCACCTGTCAGTGACCACGCTGTGTGGTCTAGTCCCTTCTGGCCCAGTAGTATTGACGGTCTTTAACAGGTCAGTGTTCTGCAACCACTCAAAGGTTTTAATTCACACTTACGCACACATTTAAAAAATAACAATAGTGCATGTTCCCTGGGGATTACTCAAACTATTGCGTTTAGATAGTGGGTTCGAATGCACGCAATGTGTATTAAATTCACGAGAGCATGCTCTTCAAAGATAAGCAGTCAAGATACAGCATACAGTTGATATTTTATATACAAAATGGATACAAGCCATCAATCATTAATGTCATGGTCCAGATCATTCCAAAATGTATTACACTAGATTTCGTTAGTTCTATAGGGCCATACAAATTGAATGTGCAAAGCGCGAAATCAATTAACAGTGAACAATTGGATTCATGCTTTTTATAATCAACGAGTGTAAAATGCTGAATTATAAAAAGTCATTTAACGACGACCCTGAAGTTTTTTCTCAGCGCTAGCGAAAATCTGAGAAAACCATGGTCGATGTTTGGATGATTACATGGACATGGTAAAGTATTATGGTTTTATATTCCAGAAAGTATGTTTTTTAAAGTCAGTCTTGATAGATATTGTTACCCTTCTGGGGATCATATTTAATATTTTACGAGTATGTCATTACCTTTCATTATCATCAGAGGCACCTTGAGAACAATTCATATTTACGGCAAAAACATTTTAACAAATCAAACACAAAAGTATATCAAATAAAAGAGAACATAAACGATACTTTAACGACTGATGGACTTTACAGACAAGGTTAAAATGCAAAAATTGGTTGACAAAAGAAATCAAAGGGGTTTGCTACACACCAGACTTCCTTTAGCGGCGCCTCTGTTGATCGTAAAAGACGTTAGAAAAGTGACGCAATCTTTGCGAAGCGATATATATATATATTTATACATGTGTGTGAGGTTTTATTCGATTTGATTTTCATTATGTTTTTTTCAAACTTTACCCTTAAAACAGAAAAAAAAATGCGATTGATACATTACTCCAAAACACTCAAAATATGTACATGTATTATCCAGGCTTAACATATTAAAATAGGGAGATTTTGAATAGACAGCGATAGATAGAAAAATGTTAAACCCGTGATTTATATTCACAGGTATTAACTGGCCATACTAACTGGCCATTTGTATTGCAACCCATTCCAAACAGACAGGTTTTCGACAAGTTTGAAACGACACAAAATCACACAATATTTCAGTACTGAATTTGAAATTCGCGAAACTGTGAAGAATTAGTATTCTCGGTTACAGATCGAGCAAATGATTTATTTTCGAGCCACACGTATGCCCTAAGCAAAAAGGCCACACTTCTTATCATCTTTAATGGTCTATGGTAATTGAAATGTTCAATGTTATGTAGATTTCACATGATCTACTCATGGAGGAGGGGGGGGGGGGGGGGGGGCGGGGGTACCTTCTTGGCATGATTATAACCCACTGGCATAATACATGTACTTCAAATTCCATAACGTGAGATCAATTATTATCACTTGAATTGGTATGTAAGAATATTCCTAATAAATAAAAGTTCATTCTAGAGCTTTAAAATACCCTTTTTGTGGTTAGGTCATCCTTCAGTGAACTGCTCACCTCAGTACGAATTATTCGCCTAAAAAGTGTTTTTTATAAAAAAATATATTAAAAAAAAAAAACCATGGCTAATGGGGCAGGGGAAAAAGAGAGAAAAGGGTAAAACTGGTGACAGGCACAGTGTAGCACAGGTTGAACAATTGATTACAGATACAGTGTAAACAATATTGTTCTTTTCATTTGGTTCGATGTCATAGAAGTGCTCTCTGTTTTCTAGGACAAGTACACCTTCTATTCGTCATGGGGGATGAGGCCTTATTGACAACCCTTCCACACAGTCAGAGTTTTTTTGAAATAAGGTCTACGTGCTTGCAGTCACGTCTTTGTAAGTTTTCACCTTGGATAAAATAAAGGCAATGGGAACGCATATTCCAGCGGAATTCTTCTTTTGTGCGTGGTAAAAAGAGTCCCCCCCCCCCCATGCAGTCAACGAAACTTTCCATGAATATATGCAGTGTGCGCCAGACAATAACAGCAAAGAGTTTATTACCAAAAGCACAGTAGCTAAAGCACAAGAGAGGGCTATTTCAGTGGGTATCTACAGGGGCACAGGGGTTACGTGCACTCATCCCTCAACGAATCTTGATATAAATGAAAAAGCAAGAAAAAGAGAGATAACAGGGAAAGGGAAAGGGAGAAGGGGAAAAGGAAGATTAAAGAAGACGCCAGCACAGGTACCTCCGACCAGGTACGTAGCCAGAGTTTGATGTTTTGTTTTTATTTATTTATTTATTTATTTATTTATTTATTTATTTATTTATTTATTTTTTTTTTGGGGGGGGGGGTGGCACATACATGTAATCGATCGAGGTCAACAAAAGGGGTCTAAAAAAGTTCAACCGATCCTGGAAATTTGTTGGGGGCACGTGCCCCCCTCCCATGCTCCCCCCCCCCCGTGCCTGCCTCCGACACCATCCCCTAATTGATAGCCCTGTTTACCAAGGTTTTCGGACAGGTTGTGTATCCGGACAGTTGATTTAAAACAGATAATTGAGGAAGTTTACCAGCAATATTTTATACATCTTATGTCAGACGATATTATAATAAAGGACAGATATTCATAATGATTAGTGCTTTTGATAAATATATACCGTTAAATCCGAGGGAAAAGAGAAGCTCTTAATTTCGTTAAGTGTAAGGATACCCAACGTCCCATCGTAAATTCGCATTTAATTTTCCGGCTAAGGCTGGTGCCCCCCCCCCCCGACTGTTCCAGTGCCAAAGGGTTGAACCGCGCTTCGCCATTGCTTAACCCAACACAATTTAGTTACAGACTGAGATGTTTAAGTAGCATGGCATTTTTCTCAAGCAATTTATTGAACATAAATTTTGACAAACAATAAACAACTTGCTCTTAAAAGATGTGATGTGGGACATGCTTCTCCTTTGATTACGCACGGTCTGCCAAAGTTGGGTCAGACCGATGCGTATTAACTTCCAGGTTTAAATGGTCTAATTCCCATGAGTCCGAAGGTCCACGAGACCGAATACCCACGAGACTGGAGAACTGCGAGACTGAATACCCACGAGACTGGAGAACTGCGAGACCGAATACCCACGAGACTGGAGAACTGCGAGACCGAATACCCACGAGACTGGAGAACTGCGAGACCGAATACCCAAGAGACTAGAGAACTGCGAGACCGAATACCCACGAGACTGGAGAACTGCGAGACCGAATACCCACGAGACTGGAGAACTGCGAGACCGAATACCCACGAGACTGGAGAACTGCGAGACCGAATACCCACGAGACTGGAGAACTGCGAGACCGAATACCCACGAGACTGGAGAACTGCGAGACCGAATACCCACGAGACTGGAGAACCGCGAGATTGAAGGCTCACGAGACTGAACGCCCATAAAACCGAAGGCCCACGAGATCGAACGCCTATGAGACTAGAGGCCCACTAGACCAAATACGCCTGTGATTGGAGAACCACGAGACTGGACGCTCATAAAAAACCGAAGGCCCACAAGATCAAAATTCTACAAGACCAAAGGCCCACCTTTGGTCTAATGTACATTATCGTGAACTTTCTGCCAAATGGCCCTCTAAAATACTACAAGGTCCAGGCAAGCCAGCCCAACCTTTGGTCTCTTAAACTTTTGCAAGTTTCACCATGAGGCCTACATAATAAATCATATGTAACATATACGTA